CAGGTCTTCCTTGGAGGCAGTCTGTGAGGACAACTCCAAGCCACTGTCTGTAGCAGGGCTGACTGCAGATGAGACATTTTCTGAGCTTCCAGATGAGCTGGGAGAAGGACCATCTATGAAAGTAACTCCACTTGCTGATGAGAAGCAGAAGCAAAAAGATCAATATAATTCTGTCCCTCAACTGCAAGCTCATACACTGAATACAGTTACAAAGGATTGCTTTAATCACTACATCGCACCACAAATGATCTCAAAACAGTTGCATATTAAAGTAGGACACGTAGATAAGCCAAGTTCTCTTTTACCGGGTATTAAATGAATTAAATGGATGAATAGGTGAGATGCTAACAGTTCTCCAAATTAAAATATATTAGTTAGATTCTAACAGACTTGGAAAAGAACACAATTCATGTAGTTAAATAAAGGGGGTATCACACTCAGAAAAGGAAAGGGTGCAGGGTATACAAAACTGAAACAAGACTTTAATGGCAGTCTCTCAAAACAGACAAAACTCAACCCCGCAGAAGAACCGGGCGTTAAAGAAGCAAAACTGTGTGTGTGCTGGCAGAACAATTATCAAAATGAAGCTTTCATGTTCAGCTTGCTCTGCTGGATCTACTTGCACATATTTCCAAAAACCTGAGAAGCTTTTGGTTTTAACATTTGCCTTTTCCAAACTATGCTTCTCATTGGGAAGGATGCACCTTCTCATCAAGCAGATAGAAGTCAGGGTGAAATAAAACAGAAGTGTGCATCATGAAGTGAGGCGCACTGATCTTTCTCGTCACTTCCTTTCATTTTAGCGTTCAGCAGTATGTACGTTAAGTATCCTGGCATCCTTAGCTATTCGTTTGGGAACTAAAAATATATTTATTACAATAATATACTTATTACTACACTAAATCAATACAGTAAGTTCCACAATCATCAAGTGACTGATGGGACTCAGCAAATACACAGCATGAGTACATAAAAAACAAAAACCAAAAACAAACATAGTTGTGATCCACTGGACTGAAGCTCATTACCGTTCTTAAATGCAAATAACACCAAGTTAAAAAACGCTTTTCACAAAGGCTTGAAAAGTTTGGCTACTCGCTAATAACTCTTCAACGCTTCTGAACTAAAATGTTTACATTGCAAGACAAGAGGGAACAGGTAGGGTTTCTTTAATTTAAAAGAAATGGAAAAATAGCCTGAAAGGCATACTTTACACTTTGATACAACGGCACAACCTCTTTAAATATCTGCCTCAAGAATAAGTCATTCCTTCAACATGAGGGTTTTTTTTAATTAGATGGAAAGGCAACATTTTTTTTACTTCTCTTTAAAGAAGCAGAATTGCAATGGAATCCAAATAAGTATGACAAGAATCAGTGAATATTTTTATTATCTCTAAATGTGAGACAATACTCCAAGAATCAAAATTTGTCTTTAAGAAAAACCTATGCATTTGCAGGTCTCATAGTTCTGAGGAAAACTTGTTCACTTGATTTTTAAGAAATGATTGGAATAAATCAATTTTGTAATCTCTTCCCTCATCTGTTAAGCCATGATTCTAGCCTTAAAAGCACAATTACTGCATCACCTAGCACCACAAGGTCAGAGTTAATGCCACACTTTCTAATACGATTCAGCTTTCTCTCCAAAATGCTGTAGGAGTTATGACACTATTTTAACGGAATTTAATACCTATTCTAAGACTTAAATATAACACTGATTTATATGGGGGTAAGTTCCCCCATCTGGACGTCTGCTTTGAGCTGGATACAACTTGTTTTCATTTATTATTTTCTCAAGTTTTCACCACCTATGCTGCTGTGCAGAAACAAATCTGAAATCGTTTGCACTACACTGAATAGTTTCCTGTGATGGAATAAGCGTCAGAACTATGTATGTCACGCAGCTATTGTTGCAATCTTCCTGTCTGCTTCCCTTCACTGTTAGTGTTTATGTCTGACTGATCAAAATTCAGAGTGCACATGAGACTGAATACTTTGCAGCCACAGGGACTCATCTATCCACATGAAAGGTTAAAAACGGTTATAACTATTTAGTTTACTCCTACACAGCCATAGGATATACAAGTTTCCCAACACTACGTTCTCGAGCTCATAGCACTAGTCATACTTCCTATCAGTTCTGCAAGCTGAGCTGAAGCACATACAAAAGGACTCCTGTGTACTCCCCTTGGTTTCTTGCATGCAAACCTTTTTCAGGTATTTTTTGCTGCTCCCTCTATTTTCTTTCTATATAATTCTTGATGACTTCCTACCATATTATGGCCTCTACTCTTCTCATAACAGTTTAAAGTGCACGCCATCTTTCTCTGTCCCTTAATGTGTGTAGCAAATTTCATGGGGTGTGGGTGTGTGGGGTGGGGTGTGCGCGTGAGCACTTTCAACCTTAATGTCTTTGTGAGAGATGTGTGCACCTGTCCATCCTCAATACCTCGGTCTCTGCACACCCCTCAGTTCCTCCTGTCTATCTTCCCCAGAATCCCACTTTGATCTTCTGTCATTATCACCACTTCCACCTCCTCTGGCATTCTACTTCAGGAAAATAGGAGAGAATAAATCACTAAAGTCAGCAATTTCCTGTGGCAGGCAACCGTAATGTAATCCTTTAGCCACTACCTTCTTCCCATCCCCAGCCTCTTTAGCCCTCCTCTTGCCACTGTTCTTGTTCTCAACCTCTTTTATGGACCTGCTGCAGCCTCCACCTCCTCCCCACCATATGGCCTCCGCTGCACGCAACCTCACTCAGCCACCTCTCTGGGTCCCCATTCCATTCTCTGCAAGTCATCCCTCTAAGGCACACCACAGACTTAGAGAAATGCTGTCAAGTTAGCCGCAGCAGCCTGCTTTAGCCCATGAGCAAGTATTTCATCTTCTTCAAACTCCTCAACTCTTCTCCAATCTATGACCTGTTTATTGCAACAGTCACTGAGAACTAAAACCGAAAAACATAAAGCAGAAGAACAGCTTAAGAGAAATAAAATAGAGCTAAAGATTAAAAAACAAATTAAAAAACCGAACAAAAAAAACACCTGTAGAACAGATGCCATCTATTCTCTGGAAACACATTTCAACTTACCTGTGATGTTAGTACCAGTGGTTACTGGTTGCTCTGTCCCAGGAGAGACCTTATTTACATGACGAGGCGGCCTTGGTGATCTCTTCTGCTTTTTCCATTTTGATGAATCACTCATTCCTCCAGCTCTCATTTTCAACTGCAAACCATAATCATTAGGAATATCAGTATGGCAAAACCACATAGCACAAGAAATCACACAAGCCACCCCAAAAAGGCTGTCTCAAAACCATGAAAGTCAAGCAACAGTACTCAAATATATCACACAAATTAATCAGCACCTCAGAATCATGCAAACCTGCCCATGACTCCTTACTGGCCACACATTAGCCAACAACTTCATGCCTAAATCAAGGGACAATCTGCTGCAGCTACTCTAATATATACCTGACAGACCGAGTAACACAGCACTCCCTCTTCCCTATCAATGCCTCCTAGTTTTATATTAGGATAAAAAAAAATTAGACCATCAGGCACATCTCAAATCTCTTTGCTTTTGCCTATATTCCCAGAGTTCTATAGGGCACCGATTAAAGCATATGAGCATGTACTAGTTAGGCTTGACATTCAATTAAACTTTCACCATTTATATATGAAGTTTGCAAAAGAAGTCTGAGCATCCAGTCCCACTCTGGGCAACCTGCAGCTCCGTCAGTCATCTCTAGTCTCAATTTACTCTTCATCTTTGCAGCAACGCCATCTTCACTTTTCTCTAGGAATCTCTTTCACCATTAACCAGTGTTTCCATAACACTTCACTCACTCCTGGTGCACAATACATTGCAAACATCACCCTAGTCACTTAAAAATGCATTCTGCCTTTACCTGCCTTCTGTCATTATTCCTCTTCAGTTCTATGCCTAACTTAACTGTTGATTTCTTTGTTGACCAGGATACTCTTTCTAGTTCTTATACAAATCTTCAACTGGGCAAACAAGAACCACGGCAGGACCCAGACTGCGTGGCCCTTCGCTGCAGTGCGGTTACTTGCAGGCATGCACAGACACTCCAGAACTTCGTAACAGCAATATGATATTCTGTCACACTGACAATGGCAATAGCAGGCCTGGAAACAGCTTCTTTCTAAGACATTTTCATCTAAGTGCAGGATTGCCTGCTTTTTACTCTTGTTCGATAGCTGCTTTTCTGACCCTGTCAGATCTCTTCAATCTGGGATGAAGATTTAAATACTGTCAACAGGTACCTTGTGTGTACTGCAAACCATTAAGCAAGTCTCAGTACCAATCTCTGCTTGGTATTTTTCTTTATAAATAAATTATTTATCCTAGTCAATTTATATTTTAAAACTATAATATTCTTGTCTTATTACTTTCTTCAGGTATTCTTATTTCTTGTATCACTAGTATCCGATTTAAATTCTCTAGAAGACAGCTATTTTCTTTAGTCTCTTCATTTTCTGCCGGCAGAACAATTCTTTAACCTCCCTCCCTCCTGCCAGCTACTACTCTTAAATATCAATTAACCTTACAGGTTCTATTACTGTTTTTCCATCTAGAATCCTAACTCACTGTACATGGCATAATTTTCCTCTTTTTTTTAAACAAAGCTTGTGAAAATGTTATGTCCCAGTGTGGTAAACCATTTGTGTGACTTCTCTTTGCATCACAAATCCTATTTGTTTGACTACTAATCCCTAAGTTTTAGCTATGCTACAGTTTCTTTGAGCTAGTTCATTAAGAACAGATTCAGAACTGCTTTGTCCCTTGTTATTTCTTCTAAATTTTGAAGCAAGAACCTCACTCTCTTCTTCTAAGAAACATGTGCATGACAAACACACAGCTAAAATGTAAAATTTTAAAGGTTTCAAATGTTTTAAAAGCTTAGGGATCGCAATCCTTTCACATAAGAACTTTGTTAGCTATCTCATCTTTCCTGTTCCCTAGGCTAGGGGGCTACAGGGCTATAAAATACTTGTCATCTTTCGTTCTTGCTAATCCCTAATATTTCATCTCTATTAGTTTCACTTTCATTTTAAAAATCTCTTTGAGCCATAAATATTACCAATAGATTTATCCCTTGAAGGCTTAAGCAGCTAATTGGACCACGTTGTTTTATTTTACCCACTAACTGTTCTACAAATAGCCATATTTACATTTTCTCCTTTTTAGTAACGTATTAAAAAAAAAAAAAAAACCTAAAGGCTTTTACAGTCCATTGTACTAAACTGCTGGAAATAAGGAAGGAAACCTGAAAACTTTATATGTTAAAACCCAAGAAAGTTTGTTTCATAGAATTCCAAAATTACAGACTTTGCTTCTGCCTACTATATCCTGTTTCTGTTACCATGATTTACCAGGTAGAGTCACTCACTAATAAAAATGAAAAAAATAAAATGAATCAACAAAACACATCTAAGATCTTGTTAGGAACTACGTTGGTGCCACTGCTTTTACCCTCAGCCATGCTCCTGAGAAACAGCTTTTGAAACATCCCATGAGAAGCTCCAAGCAGATAGTTTGATTGCTATTTCTGACCTCCACTTTCACACAATATCAAATTCTATTTCAGTTCAGCACCAGCTCTCATGAAAAAGATACAAGGGATCAAACATACAAAGTAGTTAAAACTTTTAAAGCGTTTTGAGGAGTCTTCCAACATAAGGATCTAGACTCCCTCAGACAATACCCTTTTCCAGTGACTGCACCGTGCTTTGAATTGAATCCAAGATTTTTCCTCTTGAAGTTTTGAAGAGCCACATGCATGTCTGCCATCACTTTGACCAAGCTATGCCATCTTTTAGAGACTCAGTCAAAATAACCTCACAAGGACAGGAAAACATTAGGTCAGGGAAGGGAAAAAACCCTGAGGTATGTTTTTTCATAATTTCGCCTGAACATTTAATCAAAGTATACAGATTCAGATAAGAATCTAAGGTTATTTACTTTTTTGGGGACATTTTAACAGACCAGTGAGATTATCCAGTAGGTCTTTTACTAGTGTTCCATATGCTGCACAATCAGGAATCATTTTATTAGGACATGTCCCAAAAATAAGAGATAGCAAACTACAATGATAATTGCATAACTTACAAAAAAAATTGCAGAAGCATTGTTTAATAGAAATCCGTTTCATCTCTGCCAATTAGCCATATGTTGTTTCAACAAACTCACTCTGAGTTTAGGATGTGAAAGGATATCAAAAGTAACATCTTTCTTCATTCTGTATTTTGTACTGAATTGAAACGTAACAAGTCCATGAATTCCTTACTTTTTTATGATAGCATAAAGGTGATAAAAAATTTCCACAATTTCTCCTTGACAAAAGGAACTATTTCCAATGCTTGCTTTACCTTCAGTGCCAAAGTATTTTCTGATTTTGCTAGAAAGATTGGTTGCATGTTAACAGGCTGAGATTTTAAACCTAAGATTTCCGTCCTGACCAAATGCTGCAGATAACGGCATTTAATATATCATTTAAAGAATCCTGAATTTTAACCAACATCTAAAACTCTCCTTCCCTAATGCATTAGAGTTGCATTTTTTTTCCTAGTTATCAGTGTTCTTCAGATTAGATTAAGCTTGTATTGCCAAAGTAAAGACAATTGCATTTGGTTTTTAAAAGCATTCCTTACAAACCAAAGAAGAAAGGAAGCTCAGAGCTACTCCTTCTCCATCTTGGAAGTCAGTACAGATTCCATTACATTTATCCAAATTACCTTGCATAAAGAAATGCGTGCAAAAAGTAGAAGAAAGAAATGAGAAGACTCCTAATGCTTCCTTTGAAAGATGTGGCTGTTAACAATAAAATGCCAGCTCAGGGCTAGGAAAGTGAAGAAAAATGTAATACTACAAGGTTCTTTCTAAAAGGTCCGGGAGATCCCATTTTTCCACAAGCCACCTTACCTGTACTCGTTTGTTTTTCCATAAGATACTGTAAGCCTCAAGAAAAAAGGGCAGGGGCCAATGATTAGTAACTAAAGAAATTATACTAAAACATGAGCTCATTCTTGATGCAGCATGGAACTGGTCAGCACACCCAGTGGCGTTCAAGACACAACAACATGCAGAGAGAATGCAGTCCATGATCCAAGACCTGAAGACACTGACGTGGTCCCGCCATCTCACTCACCTACCTGCCTGTACTGCGGCAACTAATTAATTTCATTTGGTGAAATACATGTATGTATCTTAGACAACTATGAACATAATCCACTCCTCAAATCTGCAGAAGCCCAGATTTGGGTTCCTGACTCCCACCTCAAAACCCAGCGTTTAGTTGCAATACCTTCTACTGTTAAGGGAAATGTTGTTTCACAGTCTCCTCTACTGTGCAACTCTGAATAAATCTGGGAGTCTCCAGCTATGGTCTGTGCAAACTATCCTGACCATAGGCTCAGGAAATAACAAAGGCATCTCTAAACGTTCATTTCAGCTTTATCTGGACCAAATGGCATAAAGGGCAAACAAGAACTAAATCTGGATTGAGTTTATGAACCACCATGGAAAACAAGAAGGGTCCTATGTAAGCTAGCTTATCAGGGCTTCTCTGATCATTCCAAAAGTAACAGGCTACAGGGCTAAAATGCTTCTTTAAAAACTATTTTGTAGGGAAACTGGCAGGTACTGACATGTTTCTTAATTCAGTTTGGCCCCACTCATCCCCCATTAGCAAATGCTGTGATGGGAACCACATTTTAGTTCTGCAGAAACATGGCTAAAGACATGGAAAACGTACAGCCATCTGTTTCAAAAAATTTGAGAGAGCATTGAACTCTGTGCCCCTGCACCAAGCAGCAAAGCTCAGAGATTCACCTTGAGTAATATTGTCTAACGCATGCTGGGTCAAGAGACTCTTCAAGAATGCTATTACTTCTATAATCATCACCAATAGCTAGGGCATACAACACTCGGTCTTCAGGGAAGTAATCGACATTTTTAATATGTTTCTTCAGTTTTTCACTGTCACAAAGGACTCGATCTTTGCCTACGCTCTCCCATCCCCTTCCTTCAGAGGACTCTGAGACGGTGTCTTAGATGCCACTTACCAAGACACTGAATGCTACAGCAAAACAAGGCTCTCTCCCTCCCGAGCCTACCCCAGCTGGAGCCACAACACTGCAAAGCAACCACTGCATGCATTCTCCCCAAAAGCCATGCTATGTCAAATGAGTGGAGGGAGATCTGCTACTACACACAACATAACCGTCTCCCACATGGTGTTTACAAGAGAAGGAAGAAGGGAGTGAGGGAAGAAGGGAGAGAGAGACCTTCAGGTTCTTAAAGAGCAGTACCCTCTCTAATTGGTTCAGGGCTTTGGGCTGTTCCCCACTATTTAGTTCCAGTTTGCTGAGGAGACATGAAGAGATCTGTGAAAGATAGGCAAATGTTTGGTTTAAATAAAGTAAAATAAACCCAAAGAGAAGAAGAACCTGGCAGAGCGTAAGGCTCCAAGGGAGACTCCTGGCATGCACAGCAAACAGATAGTACAGGGTAACTGCATAGATCAGACACAAGACACATTTATTGAGCTGGGATCAGCCATCACTTGATAAGGGAAGGCTTCCTGAATTTAAGTTCACTTTCACGTTATGCCTTCTGTATAGATGAGGACAAATTCTGGCACCTGCAGTAAGTCACCCTGTTCTCTTCTAGCTTTCCTTAGGCCAACCTACAAGCAGCATAAACCTTGCCACTTTCCTCCAACGGCAAGGGAAACGAGCAATCATGACATGTGGGTTACTACACAAGAATTAAAGACCCAAGCTGGTTTCAGATTCCTAAAAATAAGCATAATCAATATTCCAAAACACTGCTGTACTGCCTCTGAAATGTAAATTTACCCAACTTTGTAACTTTTCTTCATGTCACTCAAAAAGAGTGGGAGTTACGTGTTAGAAACAGCATGTTCAGTATAAGCTCAGAGGTAACTCCCTCTTCTCTAGCACTCTCCCCTACCCTGTTATGCTGAATACTAGAATCCTGTATCTTTACTGACATTCATTATACTCCTGATGGAGTTCCTCAGGTGGGTTTACCTCTATCTAAGGAGATACAACACTAATAAACATGGGAGGTCACATTCACGGTATTTGCCCTACTGTATTCAGGTGCTAAGAACTCACTGGAAAGAGTGAGATGGTGTTGACGAACAAAACCTGGACCTTTCACCCTCAAAGGTTGTGGGGAAAGGGAGAAAGAGAGCAGGCTACTCTGGTTTGGCTGCTAACAGCAGAGATCAGACTGCCCCTCTGAACATTACAGAATGCTGCCCCTTCTAAAAGTCAAAGCTTTTCCTACAGTAGCCTAATTTCATAATTCTTTCATGGCTATCTCATCAGCCTCCAAAAAAAAAAAAAAAAATTCCTTTCTACTTAAGAACTGGAACATGTTGAAAGCACAGTGTTAGATTTGTGGTGAATAAGGAAGGATAAGAAAGAAGCTGGAGAGAGAGCAGAAGACAGCAAAAGTTTGGAAGACATTACCATCAGGTCCCAAGACTTGTTGGGGCTTTCTTGCCCACAGTGGCTGATGGCTGTTCCCAGAATCCAGTCTGACTCACCTAGGCAACAGCACCATTGACAAGATTCACTGCTGGACTATGTGGGCATGAATTCCACAGAATTAATGAAGTTATGTCCGTTTATGCTGTTAAACATGCTCCTTCAGGGAACTAAAGACTTGCAGGAATGAAGAAACACAAGTGTGAAAGCAAACAGTATAGAGATGAGTGCAAGCCCGAGACAAGAGCAGAAGAGCCAATACAATACTGAGCCTTACCTTCTTCATATTAGTTCCCATGTAGCTTTTAGGCTCTTCTTTAAACTGAGGCAACCTGAAAGACAAAGCACAAGTCAAAATTCACATAAGCTTCCTTGGTTAACAGGAAGGAAACAAATAGATTTTTTTTTTTTTTTAAACAGTCAGGCTGCAAACATCAGAAAACTAAAATTAGGTTTTCTTTGCAAAGAGGTACTCTCTCCATTTCTTATCCTGACAGAAGGTGCACGGAAAAAGACAGTCTAGATGGGAGGCTCTTTGCAAGCCACTCACCATTCCTGCTTTGGCAATTCAAATATATTTTCAGTGCTAATGATCATGAAAGTGCAGTTTCTTTTCCTTCAGAATATATTTTCAGCACTGGTCTAATTAGATTAGCTCAAACAGGTTTCACTAATGCTGCTGTAAATAGCTGCTGAGCCAGAGTATCACCCATACCAGGACTCTTATAGTTTCAGCATTACTAGTCATGGCAGCTCTTCTCATTAACTTATCTAGAAATACCAGTGGTTACCCTCCATTCTGAACCATACGAACAGAATTACAGGTGCAAATTGGATCTAAGTTTAAGCTGAATGCTTTGAGTTAAGCAGTCCCTCTCTTGGAAGTAAAGGAGGCAGACAGCTCTCACCTGTGTTACCAAATGATCTCCAGAACAAACATTTACATCTCCTACAACTTCACACACCCTGCTCTCCCCCCTCTGTTCCTTTACTACATTTCTATCTTCATTTGCTGAAGGGATGCAAGCCTGCAGCACAGCTTTGGCTGTTCCTCTTTTTGAGTATTGTCGTCTTGCTTTTCAGAAACTAATAAGGGAGCCAAACCATCCCCACAACTGCTGCCTTTGCCTTGCTTCTATACCCCAATGTCCGTAGATGCTGATAATCTCAACTACTATTTGCCACCTTCCCTGATAAGAAGCGTTTCTTCAAGCCATATCGAGAAGGAGGACAGAGGAGATGATACGCTAAGTAATGAATAAGCGCTATGTTAAATTCACGTGTGTACCTGGAGAAAGTGATGCTGTCTCTCCCCTTTGATAACACTTGCTTCTGACCCTGCCCTGCATTCATCCAGTGCGCTACATGACACAGGATGCACAAAGGAAATAAATCCTGAGACCTCACTGAAGCCGAGCGTGGCAACAGAAGAAAATGATTATGAGAGCTGTGTTTCAGAAGTGATTGGGTTTATTACAATCCTTTCCTACTAAAGGTATTTCTGTAGCTGCACATACCCTTCTTACAACACCTAGAGAAAAATCTGTGATTACTTCACAGGTCTGGAAAAACAGTTTTGAAGTTAAATAACTTCTTTGAGTTTAAAAAGGAGGAGTAACCTTAATAGTTACCTGGAAGGTGCTGAAAAGGGCAGAACATTTGTCCACAAGACATATGATCTCAAGAGTTTAGACTTCTCTTTGATATGCGAGGTCAAACGTCTCAGCTTGAATTCAACATGTGATTATACAATGCTATTTCTATTCTCTCTTCTAAAGAGAACTATATTTTTTTAGAGTACTGTTTTTTTTAAGTGAAGTTTGCATTAACTGTCCTTAAAGAAATGGTTCCCCATCTTAAAGCTCTTCATTACTTGGCTGTCCATCTCTCCTTGAAGGACACCTTAAACCATGCAACTTTGCCTACTTCGTTCTCCTCACAATCTGAAAGGGTCAGCCCAAGAGAAAAGGGCCAAATCCTTCATCCCCTTCCACCTCTAAATAATGGCCATTTCAGATGATTTTTCTGAGGCCCTTAAGTGGAAGTGTGGAATCCTTCTGTCCTTAGAGGGCCATCTCAGCAATGCTGAGGCAAACACAAGCAGGTTTACCTTGTGAAGAGCAGCTGCACCATGTCGACCAGAGTGTGCTCTGCAGATTTTCTCAATAACTCTGCGAAGACAAAAACAAATAACACAGGTGTCATTACTCAGTGTGATATTATCAAGAGGCTTCTTCAAGCAGACTCCCCTCCGAGCCTTGTTTACAGAGATTACGGCACATTTATTAAAACCAGCTCCAAGACTGCATTACTGCAAAGGGGCATATAATCACAAGGTGGCGCCACAAAGCTGAGGAAAAAAAGGAGTCAGTCAAAAGTTGGACAATGAATTCCTAACGCCTAACAAGTTTTACATGAAGTTGTAGAGAGACACAATAATACAAAGCTCAGTGGGTTTCCACGGCTGCATTTTCTGTAATGGAACCAGTCAACTAATGCTGAAGAGACCAGACCATTTCTTAGGAGTAACCACTGCAGAAACACATGCAAACCTACCGCTGAGTCTCATTTCAAAGCATATGCGGAAACAGGACTGCATTATCTCACACACAGATTCATTGGTGAGGTGGGCTCCCACTGGAGTAAGCAGCAAGGTTCTCAAAACCTGTAAAAAACAGTACACGTGTCACATAGTACCAATGCCATTCACATGCATGGCCAAGAGAAGGCCGGCTCCCTCAAGACCTCCCCGGAATTACTGCCTTGAGCAGAAAGCAAAAGTTTCCCAGAAGTCATTTCAATCTAATGCTGTGCTCAAGAACAAAAAAATTAAACATCAAGCATGATCTCCCAACCCATCTCTAAAAGAGATCTGATATGCTGCATGCCACCCAACATTTAAATTCAGTAACTAGCCCTCTGCCCAAAAGTAAACAGACCAGAATTGCATAGCTCATAGGTTTGTCTCTACAAAGCATTCTTCTCAAAATAAGTTTGTGAGCTCCATATGCTAACCTTCCCCGCCTCCAGCAGAGACCATGCACAAGATGGGATTATCAAGGCTACCACATATCAAGCCCTTGATTTAAAATCATTTCATTTGAGCTTTTAATTATTTTCATTTGGAAAAGCTTTTACCACAGGTATATGAGCCATCTGTTTAAAAATAAAGTCTGTCTCTAAGCTCCTGCAGAGTCAAAACACTGCTCCCTCCTCCTCAGCTCCATGTAACAGGATATGGTCCACAATGGGCAGCAGCCATTATGGTAATTACCATTTCTCTCCACTTACCTGCAGGATTTTCATCAGGACAACCTCATCGCTTGCATGATCTGTGCCCACAAATCGGGCATGAGTGACAGCATCTGCCATATTCTCCATTCCCTCCGCTGTGCCCACATGGCTGGGATCTGAGTAACAGAATAAAAATACATGACAGAGAAAGGCCACCTACAGCTTGTCACCTCTATGGGGAGACATCCACACAGAGATACTTTGCTTCCATTTGCTACCTTAATTTGTGTGACTTAGTCTAAGTAGACTGTACAAGGGACAAACTCACCTCCCATTAACAGAATGACTTTTTAGTACTGGGAGCTTTCAGCAAGACTTTATCAAAAATCTGTTTACACTGTCAGAAAGATGTGACTTAACAAACCACGCAAGAGAAGAATTACAATTCAGTTTGTTACTGGCTCTATACTTTTTTAGATGTTAATTTGTAAGACTATGTCCTCTCCCTTACAATACAGCACAATCAGCTGTTAAATACATTCAGATTTTCCCTGTGGTGGAGAGAAAATAGATTTTATGCACAGGGAACCCTAAACTTACTCCCACAAGGACAAAATGCCAGTTTCCACTAGATTGAGAAGGAAATTGCCTCTAAATGCCAGTTTCCATTAGACTGAGAAGGAAATTGCCTCTCATTCTATAACCCTCCCAAGGAGTAGGATCTGGGTAAGGAATGGACCAGTAGTTTTCTCCCCAGAGAAAACAGTAGACAGACACTATCCTGGTTTAGATATCAGAGTTGCAGGCCTCCCACTTCAATCATTCATCAAGGCTCCTCTCTTCATTTTAGTCTTTTGTAACTACAAACAATGGTGCATTTGGGAGAATGTCTGGGACAAGATTGTTGCTAGTAACCGTATCTTGTGCTACGTTACAGTGGCTTCAGAAAAGCTGTCTCCGGCTTTGATTTCATTCTCACCTAAACAATGCTGCACTGGGCAAGAATCTTGTTACCTTCCTACCTAAACAGTCATTAGGAAAGAAAGGAGACAACCTAAACACCAGCTAATACCTCATTAGCTGGGGACGGGACCTCTTGAACTCCAGCAAGAACGAAGCTGATGGAGGAACTAAGCGAGGCCTTGTATGCTTTGCAGACTCCCTCTTTGGCTCCAGTTGTGTTCACACCTAAGAGCTAAACCCTAGGCATTAAAGAAAACCGTCCTTACTGTGGTCCATGCTCCAAGCATGGTCCAGCAGCATCCACCATACTGGGTGGATTCTGAAGAGCTGCAGGGTAAGAAACTTCTCAGAGTTGAACAAAACTGAAATGGCACCAGCGCACATGAGAACACCATCAGTTTGCACAGGAACAGCACCTTTCCTTTCCCTTCTCTCATTCACGTGTCAGAGAAGGTCTGCTCTACTGAGAGCACACCTTGCCTACTTTTGACTTGTCTTTCTCCCTCTCTCTCACAAATCTTGCATAGTTCGGAGTGAATTCCTCTCCCGAGTTGCTAGTCAAGCCTCACTGAGCCATCAGGGGGTCCATTCAAAGACTGACCCGTCATTTTTACCTGCTTCATTGGTACTACTCAACAGGACACCAAACAGCGACACAGGAAAGTGTCAGCTGAGAGGCCTGGCTGACAAAGGCACTTCTCTTTGTACCCTCTGTAAGCACTTACATAGGCAATAAAATTAAAACATACGTTGGTGCTCCACGTACCCTGATTCACAATTGAACACATTAGCTTATACCGTCAGTGGTGACGTGGGATCATCCTAAACTGCCTCAATTAAATCAGACGTAGACCAATGTGGTTATAGTGCCAGCAGCTACATTAGCATCACTGTTAATATACCTCAATACTATAGCAGAACGAAGCTAAAAGGGCATCAAGAGGGGGGGAAAAAAAAAAAAAACCACTTGCTGTAGAAAAGGCTTCAAAATATAGAACAAGCAGTTTCATTTCACTGCCCCCTCTTCCAGTAGGTGTGACTTCCTCTGGGATTGGGGACATATTTGGCAGTGGTTATGGATAAGTAGTCCATGTGAAAAGAAAAGGCAAGTAAGTTGTGTGAATGCTTCTTTAACAGATGTGTGACTGCTGCTTCATTGTTCTAGCCCCTACTTTCAATGCTAATAAACACACACCTCTCCCAACACACATCACGCCTGGCTACTTCAGTCCTGGGTCCCTAGTACAGCTCCACAAATTCAGCTAAGTTTATAAAGCCTCTTGAGTTCAATTAAAAGCATAGACATTTCTACTTTGCAGAAACAAGATAGAGAGAAGATCAACACACTTCTTTGTTCCCTGGTGAGAAAACAGCACAGAAAGATGTGTCAATGCCTGCTCAGAATTACTAATAAAAGGAAGTTTTTGTGAAGTAAAACTCAGATTTGAAGACTGCTGCCTGTGATGCAAAGATTTGGTAGACCCCATATAGGTTTACACATTTCATATGGAGTGCACTCCCATAACTGGCAGGCAAAGCAAAAAGCAGAAAGCAGAAAATCCAGGCTTTTAACCTTCAGAGAAATCCAGGAAAGCCAGAAGCCTGCTCAGTAAGACCTTTAAAAGAACTGAACTAAATCACCAAGGAGATCGAGAAGGTAGAGGGGAAAACACGCTTTTACCTCTCCAAATGGCAAGTCATCTTGTTGGAAGCTGAGTAGCAGCCACCCACCTACAGATATGTAGTTTCCAGGTGTGTCAGAGAAAGTTAACTTGAGAAACAGAGATCCAGAAAACTGCAATGGCACACCGTGATAATAATCACAGCAAAAGCGCATATTTTCTTCTGAGAAAAATATAACAAATAATTTTGAAATTCAACTACTTGTCTTGTACGGCTCAGGTTTGAGCTCATCAAAAAGACTGACATCTACCTGTAGTGCAAAACTGATGAATAAGGAAATAACTAATCCAAAGGATAAAAATCAACGAATTTAAAAGTTTTACCGTGCTTTAAAAATTATTATGGCATTTATCGAACGCCACTCTTGAAACAATAGTGCTTATTTCAGAGCAGAGGACAGCCTCTATAATGCCAACTACTCCTATCAAACTATACATAGGATGGAAATTAATTCGTTTTATCCAACTGAGCTGCTGACTGCATGCTATACCATTAGTCAACTGCAGCATACAGCCAACTTAGAACAGATCTTTGCACTTCAGACTATTAGAGATGAGAAGTATAAAGGTTACCCAAGAATTTTGGTTTTCTAACTGGTTTAAAAACATATACTTCTCAGCAGTGCTGACCAGAAAAGTAGCCAGACAACTACCTCATGACCTGTGTGAGAGTAAGAAATAAAACAATGAGAGAGCATGAGGATTAGCCATTAAATGCTTTGAAAATAGGAAAAAATGGCAGTTTTAAACAAAGACGCCTATCAGAGGAGTTTGGCCCTTTCACTGCCCACTTGTTTTACAGCCAGTGTACTACAAAAGTCTTCTTCTCACAAAACAGACACAGCTAATGGCACTTTTGCGAAGAGTTTTGCTTTCACCTGTCAGTTATGCAGCATCAAAACAAACCACAAACATCGGCCAGATTGTATTTTCCCCACTGTGGTTATGCTGGAGTCCTTCCTTCCTTGCTCAGAGCAGTCTGAAAAAGGCTTGTATGATAAGGACAGCTTTTAGCTTTTCTTATCTTTAGATAGATAGACAGTCTTTAAACTATTTTTATTCTCATATTACAGAGAGAAATATAAGACCAGAAAGTTTTAATTTAACAACATAACCTTAGCCAGATGTTCAGTCAGCACCATTAATCCCAGCCTCATTGGCCTTTAGAGCAGCAGAAAAGACAAGGCCCCTGTGAATGTCACCTAAAGTGGGAACTGAGGTCTTTGATTACAGGTTCTGCTCCTCAATAAAATCCAGACAGAGGGTCTTTTCCACTGGAACATGAAAACACACATCCATGCACAGTTATATGGATGCACTATTCCTCGGGTGATCTAATTAATATTCTAAAGAACAGATAGCTAAAAAAAGCCTACAAATCTTAACCACTTCTTTCTGTTTCTCTGTCTCAACTGTAGCCAGTTGCCTATGCAGATATTTGCCTGGAGATGTGATATCAGTCTCACGTTCTGATCCCTTCCAGACCATAAAAGGCCCAAAGAAGAGTTAATGTTCTCATTCCGTTTTAAAATGGATATATTTTGCATTATTGCTTATTCCTTCAGAGAGACATGTTAAAGCCTTATTCACTCAGAATTTTTTTATTTTCCTATAAAATGACATTAACATCCCATCAATTTAGGTATTTCTTACCACTTTATACCCAACACTGCACACTAACTGATGCTTTGACACACAAAGTTCCCATCAAACTCTTAAAAATTCTTTTCTGCAAGTCTCCATTTTTGCTCATTTTAATTTTGGGGCTTCCCCGCATCACTGTGGTCTGCATCTACACATAGCTTCAAACCCTTTCCTCCTCTAACTCCAAAGAACAAAATCTCTAAAAGAACAATGCAAAAAATACAACTGTGTCCACTCTGCAGTGTAAGGAAGAAAAAGGACTTAAAGAACTAAGCTGGGGAGCAGGGGAAGAGAAGAGGTAAAAGAATTTCTTCCAAGTGAGACTAAGCACAAATAAGCATATATAACAAGTTTGTCATTCACATAGGTATGATCAGAAAGGACGAACAGGATTTACACAGAAAAATCAACTACCACTAATAACAGGATGCTGCAATGTGAAGCCAGACAAAAAGCAAGCCAGTGAGTTACTGCATGCCAGCTGAGCCATGGTAACTACTGCATACACATTATTAGACTTTCACAAACATTAGACTTTCACAAACATAAAGGAAAACACACAGATTTGAGAGTCAATAGAAAAATTAAGTGAATATATTTTACCCCATACTGGGACAAAGAGTACGCACAGAGAAACTAAAACAGTTCAGCTGATGCTCTGAAACTTGATTATGTTCCAGCATTAACCTATCTCCCAAAGATCACAAAACCAAAGTGCTATCACGTGTTCATGTTTCCCCAACACATTCCCTTTTTGCACCTAGAAGTTTTATCTGAGCAATAAGACATTGACAAAGACATTGCTCAAGGAGATGCGTTTGGCTGGTATTTTGGTAAATCCCAGGAAGTCACATAACATACCTATTAGTGCATATGAGAGAAACTTATTCACAGAAGTGAGGGCCAATCCAGTGATGGGGCCTGTAGTGTCTTCAGAACGGATTACTTCCAGGAAAGGCCGAAGAAAGACGTTGGGTTCAATTTCAGAAAGCTCTGGAAAAAAAAAAAAAAAAAGAGGAAGGAAAAAAGCATTATTAGACTCATTACATTAGACTTCCATTCATTAGGTTTTATTTCATTTTCCCTTTAAGAACTTAAAGCAAGCTTAATCCCTGGCAAAAGAGGCCTTGCAAAAGCTTTGTTTCAGAAAATTGGTGGGAAGGTCAGGGTTGCTCATATATATATATATGTGTGTGTGTGTGTGTGTGTGTGTGTGTGTGTGTGTGTGTACGCGTGCACACGCGTGTGTAAACAACAAAAACAAACTGAAGAAAAAAGGGCACTTTTGTCTGCTTGCTGTATGAACAGCAAGCATTCTCTCTAAAGCTGCTATAAAGAAGGCAGAGGTCTCAAGCTTGAAAAAAGGAAAGGCAACAAACTTTCTAAACTTTTCAAGACTATTAATGCCTAGAAAACTTCAGGAATGAAAAAGAAACACAGAAAAGAATAGCTAGAACTAGGGAAAACGACCTTAAAAAAAAAAGACAACGTAAGGAATCAAGATAGAAGAAATCTCGAGGAGGATCTAGGAGAAAAAGCATTAAGAAGCAGGTGAAGGCTTGACAAGGCACCAAGCAGACAGGCACAGAAGAATGTATTAAAAGTAACTTGGGTAATACTGAGATCAGAGTCTCAGCAATACGGATCTCTCCTTCGTATTTAAATACAGACACTTGTCTCAACTTCTAAAATCTACATTCTGTTCCTAATAAAAGTTAAACAAGGCTAATGGCTAATAGCACCAAAGGAACACTGACATTTACATTCTTCATGATCTGATATTTCATTTATCTGTAATATGAACTTCTTTGGGGTGGGGGAGAAAAGGCCTGTGATTCCTGAATCCTTACACAAGCTGCTGTTTTTGTCTGCCACATAACTCAAGTATTTTTCCTTAAAAAAAAAAAACAAAACAAAAAAAACCCCCCAAACTACCCCAAAACTCCTGACTCTAAGATAAGTAAGCAAAACTCCATTTGATCATAGTTCCTATTGGAAGGCTGTATGTATCAAAGTAAAACGCCTATGAGAAAGCACATACCCGTGACAACTAATGGTGACGATATAAAGGAGGGAGAACAATGCATTTTTTTTAAATGCTCAAGTTCACAGAGACCAATATCAAAGCGCAATAATTTTGTTGATAACTAAAGCAAAAATACAATTAAACAAGGAGATAACTGTGGGAGTCATTACAGCGCACACAGCCTCTTACCTTCCAGCTACTAGTTCAAATCAGGCCAACACACTTAACTTGTGAGAGGTTAAAAGGAACGTGATGATTCAATCTTTTTGGCTTAAGGACAACTCCCCCGACTTGTCAGATAATATTCTGGTGTTACATTACAATTGTGTCACCTTTCAATAGCTCATGGAAATGCAGAGGATCATAAGATGTGCTTTCATCAATGTTTATTTAAGTGTGCTTTATGGAGCACTTATCTGTGGTTACAAGCATTCAGACAACATTAAATATAAGACGACTATTATGTATCAACACTCAAACTCACCCCAAAGCTGATCCTGTCTATAGAGCAGTCACCACCTAATCAATTCATCATAATCCTGTCAATTCCTGCAGCCTCCTTCAACCCAAAGAGCCCTAGGCTGAAAAAGCTGCACCTTGAACAGTAACAAAATTGGACTTCAGCTGACATACGGATTAATAGTTCCAGCACTGGGTACTCCACACAGAGTAAGGTCAACAGAACTAATCAGCTTCTTTTCACATCAGAAGTCGATCGTTCAACTCTTTCTGTTGATTTCTGTTTCAGAAACACTATGCATGGTAAACCCCAAGAGAACATGCATCCCATCACCAGGATCTATCTTGCTGATCCGTTTCATTAGTGTCGAGACAAAATAATGTTGCTCAAGAAAACTTAGAAGCCAACATAAAAGCCAAACCAAGAATAACAAACGTGCACTCTACCAGTCAAGAGGACTTACATAAGACTGAGGTTTTTTTCCCTAAGCCACAAACATCTCCACAATACTTCTGTTAAGCTGTAAAGCATAATACAACTGCATCAAGGCGCAAGGAAGACATGCCAGATATATACTGAATACACAATAGCTCGTCCCACAGTAACCCTACTAATTATGCACATAGCTGCACAGGTGGAATGAGATGATGAAGCCCTATGTGGCTAGCATAGGATACATAGCATACCATACCCCTCTCTCCATTAATTCAGTTTCTGGACAACAACTAGACTTTATCTTCAAAAGGGTAGGGGGGGTGTTTTTTGTTTGGTTTTTGTTTTTGTTTTCCCCTCCTCTCAATTAAAACCCTCCTGAAGACAAGGTAGTCATAAGTCTTGAAGTGAATTAGTTGAAGATTAGGTTCCCATATTGTCTAATTCAAATTCCCAACTTAGATGAAAATCTCAAAATGATTTTGTCTTCAAAATGTTTTCATTAGGATTTACATTAAGATATTTCACAAATCCTAATGAAGACATTCATTAATGTCTTAAACTTAGGCACACACTGTTGATTACACAGCAACTCTGGCCAGCCTGCCTGATGTCCAGAGACTCTAGGCTGTTTTATCGTAACAGCATTCTACATTAAGCTCTCTGAAGGGGCGCACACTGTAAGACTCTTTCAAATTGATGGCTGTTGCTGGGTTACCAAGAAAAGTTAAAAATGCACTAAACACTGAGAAGAGAGTATTTTTAGTGCAAGACTTACCAAATAAAAGACTACCTTCTAAGAGAGATCTAGATTTCAGTGAAATATCAAACACATCGCTAACTGTTTACATCTGAGGAGTATTCACCTGAATGCTAGAATGAGCTCCTCTTACCAGCAGCCTTTGAAGACATTAAGGATTTACGGAGCTCATCAGCTCATCTCTTAACTTTAAAAGTTCTCTTCAAAACAGAGCTCTATCTCAGTAATAGTGCTTGCTTCAATAGTAAGACTTCGAAGAACGAAAAAACCTCATACTGCGGTTGTTCTTGCTCTATATTGTTTTGAAGTAGATTCTTCGCATTGCCTGGAAGGTCTTTTCAGGATCTGAAAGCAGCACTAAAGCTACTTGGAAGTTTTGAAACTAAATACAAATTTTGTAAGCAAGTCAGTAAGTCAAAGATGATCAACCACACTCTTTTACCTCAATCCTGTTGAGCTCCGTGAAGTTAGTTTAGAAGCTCTCACCGAAAGGCTTTCACAGCATTATGCTCCATGGGGCTGAGCACAGTATCCACAACTAACCTACCAGCACCTTCAGACCAATTACTGCAACCGCAAGGCACACTCCTGTCTAGCTTTTACTACCGAGTTCAAGGTTACTCTACAGCACAGAACAGTAGGCACTGAATAATACTCTTTTCACATCACTTTGGTTGAAGCTAGCTTTTTTGTGAAAGCAGGATCACAACATTTAAAAGCTGTTCTGCCCAACAAGCTAAACCTTCACAGAAGAGACACTAAAAGGCATGTAAAGACAAGCCATTAGGTTACATAAACTCTTGATATTTCTTGGCCCTAACTGAAAAAGCAATGCTATGCCTGTCCTAAAAATCTAAGAGCCTTCAGAAAGGATAGTCAAATCAATTATAACTTTAATAGTTTCTTTCCCAAAATAAACGTTATGTATATAAGGTAAATAATGAATGTTTGGAAAGCCAAACTTGGACTCAGAAAAGAAAAAAACACAACAGTTTCGATTTCTCATCCCTTTGGTTCTTGCTCTGCTCGGTTCAGGCGTTTAGGCATTAATTACAAGTGAGGAAACCGTAACTAGTGAGAGACTTGAGAAATGCTGATGGAGATGTTCCTCCAAGTATATCTCCCAGTAAGAGACACTTCTCACTGTTTTAACTTGAAAATAGGGGAAGTTTCTCTGTTTAGGTAACTACTTTCAATTCCACTACAAAAAGACTGCAAGCATGACCTCAACCTAATGTATTACAAGAGGAAAAGCTGAACAAGTGTCAAAAAGGAGATCAAAACTTCTCTAGGGAGTCCTACAAGCAGCCTTCCTTTTCAAACTGCTCGGGGCTTGGGCAAATTACATTAAAACAGGATTTGGCCTACATGAAGAGCCTGGGATGCTTTAGGGACCAGCTGGAGAACACTTTCTATTCTGCAAAGAATAGTCTGCAGGTCCCTTCAACGATATTTCAGGAAAGCAGAGACCAGCACCAACACTGCACAGCTAGCCCCAAAACAGTGCATGGGGACTGAAGGGTTGGGGAAAAGTATCTTAAATCAGTACCATATCAGAAAGCCAGCTTTTCAGGCTAGCAATTTTAGTATGAGCATGGAAATCCCTCAGAGGCCACAGTACTTTCTTTCGCACATCCTATGGACGATTCACGCTTCACATGCATCTATAAAGATATTTAAACAACTAATTCATGCTTAAGCTCCTTAATTCACATTTCAACAATCCCATCCAGCCGTTCTGGCATCTCAGCAAGCAAGCTGCATCAGACCTCTGGGTCCCCCTCACTCCTAAAGTACAGGAGCAGGTCTCTCTTGCAAGAGATTTCTTATTGTTGATACACTGTTGGCACATTCCTGATCTAAAACGCTCACATAAGCTGCTTTCCCTGGCAGTTAAACTCTTCACTCCTGAATGACTCTTATCAGGATCGGCTATGCGTTCCGAATCAGACTAAATGAACGAGAAAAAATTGTTTGTGACAAGTTATTTCAACATCATTTGTCCCCAGGACAGGCAACTGCAACCCAAACCACATGACCTGGACTCCTCTTATGCAGCAGCTGTTGGCCTTTGACGCTCAGCCTTCAGAAAGGCTGTTTAAATTTTATCCCACGCACCTCTCTAATTCAAACCAGCTCAGATAGGAGCAATGTTTCAAGCATGTGCTATTACCTTCCCAACTTACGCACTAAACTGTATTTATGAACAGCCATTCCTTTTTCTTGTTAAGGTTAGGGGGAAGGAAAAAAAAAAAAAAACACACACCATTGTGACAGACTAGAAATCCAGGTCTACCAGACTTCTGCCTAGGAGC